CCAAAGCAGGTTGAAAACAGATCTCGGCACAGGTGACTTATAAGCAAGCTAGATATCGTTTTTGGGACGAAAATTTTTAGTCGACGTTTCTTTTTTTTTGTCGATTTGGATATTTCGGGTAACGATCAAGGGGACTTCGTAAAATTCCGCGAAAGTCAGGGAAGACTTTGTTTCTTGCATTTTTGGAAAGCCACCTTGCGCCGAGCACTGGTTAAAAAACAGCGTTACAAGCTCTCACTAATGGTATGCAGTCGCTCGGCACAGCCCAGTGACATCGCGGCAATGTATTCCAACGTCCAACGTGCTTTCTTGCTTCCGTGGAGCCAGAGTGATGGTGGAAAGGGCTGTTTCGCGACTTCTGATTCAATTTTCTTGCACAGAAATAATCTCGGGCACTATGCGGAGTCTGCTGTTGTAATCTATAAATGGCGGCACTTTCAAAACCGCCACCGCACAAGCAACTCGACTTTTGAGTAACAATCAGGAAAGAACAGTCATGTAGTCGTCTTTTCCTGATGCTGTTTCGCTCAAAAAATCAGAGCTTTTGGTTATCTCTGAGTCTATCTATGGTCTACCTAACTTTACGTCAAACTGTCAAAGGGTTTTGCAACAAAACTAAATGCAAGCTCAGTTTTGCTGGTTAGATGTTTCAAGAAATGCTGTTATCAATACCTCTTACTTGCTTACATGGTAAGTAACATAGTGCCAGATCATTGTAAATCAGTCAAGGTTCTTAAAGAAGCACACAAAACACGCAAATTCCTTTAATGTAGTATAGGTTTTAAAGCTATGAAGGATGATGATGACTAGAAGTCTGAGTATAAACAGTAATGATACAAATGTCTAAGTAGAGTTTGCATTTCATGCCAGCCAGCGCCGATCACTTCGAAAGAGTAACACATTGTACTTGTACAATTTCATAATGCCAGTAGCGGCTTAACATAACTACATTATTATTTCCTCCATTTCCCATGGTTGTGCCAGAGTGCGGCATACGCGGCGTACCCATATTTTATGCACGTGTGCGTACGCAGCGTATGCCATGCATCTGCAACCCTCATTTGCGTACAGTATACAGGGTGTCCCAAAATAATGTGCACACTGTTTAATTTTGAATAACTCTCTTATTATGAGGTCTTTCGAGAAGCGGTGAACGCCATTTTGTAGAGCTGGCTACAACTTAGATTTGCAGTATAGAGCGAATCAGCAACCGCACTTCATTACTGTAGGATTACGGTAGAAACTTGGTAGAGGGTTTCGGGCCTCGAAAGGTCATATTTTGCCTCAGAAAGGAATCAAAACAGCCTGAAAACTTTCAACTAGGCCAATTAGAGTTGCTGATTCTAACTGTAAAGTTATCAACTTATTATGATGCTTCACTGAAAAGTTATGCGAGGTAAGCAGTAGCGGCCATTTTCTCAATGTTCCTAAAAAGTGCGGTTACATCGTTTAGAAAGCTACGTAATCTTGGGAATAGTTGAGTATTGAACTCAGAGTCCCTAAAAACCCTATTACATAAGTTTTCACATTTTTTTGAAAATTTTTGAAACAAGCTACGTAATCTTGGGAATAGTTGAGTATTGAACTCAGAGTCCCTAAAAACCCTATTACATAAGTTTTCACATTTTTTTGAAAATTTTTGAAACGGCAGCTTTTTCCACAGTGACACCATATGTTCCAAGTTTCTACCATAATCCTACAGTAATGAAGGGCGCTTGATGATTCGCTCTATACTGTAAGTCTAAGTTGAAGCCAGCTCTACAAAATGGCGCTTACCGCTTCTCGAAAGACCTCATAATAAGAGAGTTTTTCAAAATCAAACAGTGTGCACATTATTTTGGGACACCCTGTATATAACCGCGAAGAAGTGGATCACTCTTTTCATATTTTTCAGACCTGCCCATTCGTTTACGAAATAAATGAAAATGTGTTTGTACTAAACCAGTTTACAGTCTGTCTCAAACCCACTTAGACCAAAACTGGCATCGCGGGAGCCCGCATCGCGAGGTTTTGCGCCACGACTGTGGTTAGCTTGCCTGCTTGATCTTCAGTCCTTTCGCTCTCTTCGACAGCGCGCATATGCAGCGCAAACACTTGGCGCGCGGGCGTGCAAGTGAACCAGCGGTTACGCCTGGTCTGAAATGGGACAAACTGTATAACCTCATCGTACACCATGTACAAAATGTTTGGCTTTAGAGTTAGGGCTGTTTTCAAAAGTCTGTTTTGGATGTGAAAAAGACCTGCGCTTTGGCACAAATCCTCTTCTCTGACCATTTATCAGTTCCCACACATGGAACCCAACATAAGACGGAGATACTGAAAATTTAGCAATATGAATACCGCATTATTCGCTTCAAAGATTGCGGATTTACGCATCTTTGAACTATTATAAACTCATTGTCAGACAGCCCCCGGATACACTGGCTATAGGTACTATAGCTTGTGGTTGGCAAATCGCTGAAAACAGTTCTTACTGTAAAAGATGTAGAATAAAGCAAAGGAAAAACCAATGAATGACTTTACACAGCGCGTGTTTTACCCTCATTTTCGATCGTTCATATTGTTGCTCTTGATTTTTTGAAGAATAAGATTTATAGAATATGCTCGTCTTCCTGCGCCATGCTAAAAGAAGGAGGGCCAACATTCGGTTTCACCGACATCGCCTCTTCCATCAAAGTCAGCGGATGTTGGCGCGGAGGTTTCGAATGGAGGAGACGCATTTACAGAAGATTTGCCAATTGCTTGCGCCATTGATAGGAGGTCGCCGGGTTCCAAGCTCTGCTGCTTTGGAGAACAAGGTGAGGTGTCGGCATTGTTCGTAGCCTTGATGCTTTTTAATTGAAACTGGTTATGAGCGCGTAATGCTGGTGGCAGTAGTCACAAATTTGCAATGCACTGTAAGTGCGAAATCGTGGTTGATAATTCTTGTGAGCGATAGACGTGGTTTTTTTTTTCAAGGGGTCAATTCCAAACTGCTGCTTTGCATGTTTGCGCGTCTTTATTATATTGAGTGTTGGAAATGGTTAATTGTGTGAAAACTGAATATTCAAGCATTTAGGTGGTAATCGCTTTACGCTACCTGTCCACCAACGTACATCAAGATGTTCTGGCGGATACCATCGGCGTCAGCCACAAGGAGGTTTCCAGTGCAATTCGAGATGTCGTCCACGCGCTTAACAATCCACTAATTGTGCGGCACTTCATACGCTGCCGATTAGGGGACAGTTACCATTGCCGTAAAAGCGCCGCGGCTTTTGCCCGAACAGGACCTTTTCCGAACGTCATCGGCGCCGTCGGCGGAAGCTGCATAAGAATACAGGAGCCAACGGATTCTGGCTGGCAATATTACTGCCGCGAAGGCTTCACAGCCTTAAACGTGCTAGCTGCCGTTGATGCCCGTGGACGGTTCTTGTATGTAAATGCGAACTTCCCAGGATCTGTCCACGATGCCAGCGTCTTTACCGCTTCGCAGTTGAAACAAGCTTACGAAGAAGGTTTAGTTCCGCATGGCTATATTTTTATTGGGGACGCCGAGTTCGCTAATGGGAATGATGTTATCACACCCATCAGAAACCCCACAACTAAGCAGGAGGTCTCCTACAACGAATGGCACTTGAAGATGCGTTCTATTGTTGAGGAGACGTTCGTGTTATGGAGGAAGAAGTTCACTATTTTGAACGATAAAATACGTGTGGCCCCAAAACGTGCTGCTAAAGTAATTATAGCATGCGCAGTTCTTCATAATATGATGATGGCTTTGGGATGCCTGCGTTCAAAGAAACTTGGGCACAGACTAGCTATTTGTCGAAATCCGCCGGATGACTGCACTGACATTCGATCTTATTTGGTCAGCTGTCTGTAGTTTTTTTTTGATCTCGGTCATTCATGCTATATTGTTTCGTTTGTGTTATGAATTGTTATAAAACCTTCTTCTGATTGATGCAAACGTGATAGTTAACAAAAATTTTTTGAGAAATGAAATCAGGAACAGATGACAGCCTCGAAACGGGTTGTAAAATTTTATTTAGGACAATTCGCAAGCGCGCTGATTGCATCAGAACCTAGGCGTATGTTGCTCATGTTGTTGTCAACTTCACTTCCCTAGCAAGCTACATTACATTGAGTTCTGCCTTGATTATTGTACGCGCAGGTTTCATGGCAATTCCAATAACTTTCTTTGCAAGTGTCTTGCTGCCTTATACGCTTATCAAATAGTGTCTCTGCAAGTAGAGGCTTTGAGGTTCTTTGCTTATCTGGGCCTATTCGCTACGCTGAATCCGACAGTCTGCACTGAGAGCGGCAAATGCTCTAACGCAGTAGGGAAATTATTGGATAAGCGGGGCCTTCCAGTCTGTGAGGACACCCTCCCAGCTTCTGAAGGGACCATCTCTCTTCAGCTAACTGCCCTAACATCGCCATCGGCCAAGCAACGCGTGATTTGAAGCTGAACCGACAACAATGTTTCGGATATCCGCACTTCCTTGGCTTTCATCTCTACTGAATGGTTTTTCTGCTTAAGTATGATAGTATTTGGTTACTGGAAGTGACTGAGCTGAGTGTTGAGGTGATGGTTTTTTGTATGAGTGCTTCATGCTCCTATGCGCTGCACAAAGAAACAATAAGATCTGCCAATTTCTACGGTAGGCGTATAGCAATGTCCAGCAGTGTATAGCATGCACAGTGTAACACCAGCTTGCTGCAGAAATAAGTCGCAGTTTGGTGTTTCCCAAGACACCGTGGGAGATTGAACATCACAAAGCACGTGGTATGTACTATCTACGGGAAGCAAAGCAAGAGTTTTACAAGACGAGGCATCATGTTAGAAACTTGTTACATATGCTCAAAGCGCATTTCTTATAATGAGCAAAGTATAGGCCGTCCGCGCAGGGGCGGAGAGTGCGCAAAGTGTGTATCCGGTCACTCCTCTTTTCCATTGCATTCTCGCCCGCTTGTTTTCTCTGCTTCTCTTCCGGTCACGAATTGTCTGCGATGGACGCGACAGCTTGCTCTCCGCGCACGGCGCGGACGGCCTATACCCAGCTCAGTGAAATAAAGACGAGATCTGCTATAGCCTAAAGACAACTACTTCAAGGACTTCGAGCGTTAACCTGTTCAATGTGCATTTTAGCATTTGTCATATTCAGCCTCCATTTTGTCGCAGTGCAGGTTCCGTAGTAATGCGGTTACAGAAGCTTGAAGTACTCGACGTTGTAGAAGTTTGCTGTCTATTAAAAGCAGATTTCTGGTTTAGTTCTGCTTTCTAATCACTCAAAGGCGGTATTTCTGCATTATGCTTTGTTTTTGAAATGTGCTCACTAGACTTTTTTGCTATCACACTCTTGCTTTCTCATTACGGGAGCAGGAAGCTACCCTTTTGCGTGCAAAATTAAGTTTGGACTTCAAAATATTCATTTCGCTTACCTCATATATAGCTTCGAATACCCCAATTTCCATTCAAATAGGAAATAAATTTTAGCATAATGAATATCACCGCATTTGCCTGCAATCCGTCTATTATAATAGAAAAGAAGAAGAGCTACAAAGAAAGTGGCTATATATAGCGTAATCGAGGCGTAGATGTGAAATAATCAACTAAACGAATATAAGACTTGTATGCACGTATATCCCTGTCGAGGAGGGGAGGGGACGGAGAGGGCGCAGAATTATTGAGACGGCTGGGAATAGCAGCCGAATTATTGCGCACCTCTAACGTTGGTACCGCCAAGCGCATGGGTGAGCGAGATAGTTAGGCTAGGAAAATCTTCTGCACTGCTATTTGATTTTACGCATCAGCGCATAAGTTTCTCAAAAATAGTTGTGAAAAACTTGTACGTTTTAAGACACAGCGCACGCGTGCGCAAACTTGCCACTGGAGCCGAATTGACTCCTGACGGAGCGGTGCAAAGGTGCATGCCCTCGGGGCATAGCTCGCTGCGCGAAGTATCTTTATTCCTCCTTGTCTTTCTGTCTTATGAGGGTCCTCACATCCTGTTTCCTGAACATGATGGATGAAAGATATTGCCATACAAGCGCGGGTTTTACCCCCTTGTGTATACCCGGGATGGAACACCAGGGATCAGCTTTCAAAGTCGTTCATCTTTTTGAATTTTATTGAAGCTTGGTAAAGTTGTACTGAGAAAATCTAGCATAGCACTTCTAGGTATGTTTTTGACGGGACAAGTGGAATAGAAAAATTGTGAATCTTTTGAAAAGCTGTAGCTGAGGAACAGTAGTTCATTGAATATTTCAATCCTCCGATCTCACTTATTTATATTATCTCATTTATATTGTGAACATGTGTAGCCGTGCCAGGATATATCCTACTTTACATCGTTTTCATCAGTTTATAGGAACATAGTAAAGGGGTAACTGAGCTTTGAGATGAGTGCTGACGTAAGCTTAAATGCCGAATAGGTATGCAAAGAGGGAATATAAGTGGTACAGAGAATATAAGGAATTTCTCAATGCTTTGGTTTTGATAGATCATCAAACAGAGAATTTTTTGATTTGGGAAAATTTTACGTCTCATCAATCGACGTACCATTCGAAAGCTTAAACATGTTGAATAAACATAGACCGTCTTTCTCTTCAGTTCTTATGTTAATTCACATAAAAATTTTTTTATCTAGCTGCAGCATCAGCTGATTTCATACGACCACTTTGCGCTACATTTCTGAAAGGAAGAGGAAAGCTAGAAAAAAAGAGACGGTCTACGTTTATTGGCAAAGTTTTGCTCTGTAAAATTTGGACAATTAAGCATCTTTATTCATCTTTGCGTAGAAATTTCCTCACAAAACACGTATTCTTTCAGCTTAAATGTTATGTGTTTCCGAGCAGATGGGCGCTAGGAAAAGACAGACCATTTATGTCGAACCGTGTTTCACGAGCTTTTCAACAGTATTTAGATTGTGAGATGAGAAAACTTGTGGTTTTTCAAAAATGGGGTGGACATATTTACTATTAGATTGCTCCATCCCGCTTCCTCAATATCTTTGCTTTCACTCGCCCGAGCAAGACTTTTTGGAGCGTTAAAGCTTAATGCACCAACAGTTAAATCATTCGATAGCTAAGAACACGAGAAATCGATAGACCGTCTCTTTTTTCTAGCTGTTCAGCAAAGCTAGATATGAGAAATTTTATTTATTATAACTACAGTATCAGCTAATTTGGTACGGAAAGGTTTTTTTTTTGAGGCTTCGCATGTGAGTGGAAAGCTCTGAAATTGAGGAATCTAAATGATCCCTTTTTTTATATCATGCTCTTCCGAAAGAAGATATAATTTGATTCTTTTCAGTAAACATATATCTACCCAGACCAGACTTCCTACTCACATAATTCTTCCCGGCAATATATTATATATTTATTGAACAATGTTGCTTATTCCAAGAATCAGACACTAAAATTCGACCCTCAAATTTTCAGGTTCATTTCGCTATCGCAACTTAACCACTTTGAATGAGACAGGAAGTTTCGAGTTTGCGATCTTCTCGCAAACGCTGTAAAAATGCAGTCATGTTATGCACTGACTAAGAAGAAGCAGTGGCTGGCAGTCCCAACAAAATGTGCACCATTTATCATAGGTGTTTTATTCTGTCATTATGCCTTGATCCCAGTCCCAATCTTAGGAGAGGGGCCATCCAGACGGGCCCGAAAGCGAAGGGAGGGGGTGGGGGGCAGAAAAATTGTTCTATTTATCATACATATGATCCCGAGCGGGGATGTACGTGCATATGGACTTGTTGTGAATTCTTATCTTGACTTGATGTCCGAAACCAGTCTTGCTCCAACCTTGCATTCGAAGAGGGTGTTCTGATGTTTCCTGAGGTTTTGTGCATCAATTGATCAAGCAAAGAATCAACTTGACCATTGCAGAGCATCACGAAGTCCAGCGAAAATGATGAACACAATGTGGAAATAGAGAGGGACTAGAGATTGAGTAATGTCTTGCGCATCTTTTGGCCTATCAAGGAGGCGCAGGTGCCGCCAGAATTTTATGGTTATTATTTTTTAAGATTTGAGATACTATCATTTGAGAAAGTTGCTTGTTTAGAGGGAAAAAGTGCCAACAGGAAGAAGAATCGTGGAATCTTTATTTTTGAAAAAGATTTTCCCTGATGTATAGATCAGATATGATTAGGTATCGATGAAAATTAGAACCGCCGTTAGAAGCTTAAAGGCAGCGAACCTTCAAAATGTGGGATTTTGAAGCTTTGCATTGACAATTTCCCTCCCTCCCCCCCCCCCGCCCAACTTCTATCAGTGAAGTCTAGAGCGAAAAAGCGCTGAGAAGCATGAAATCCACTTGCAAGCCTTACGGACCCCACCCATTACCTTACTTATAAGCATTTTGCAGCAGTGCGAACACGGAGAGCTTCGAACAGGAGCTCATATATGCCATTTCCATGCGCTGCAAAGCCAATATATGGGTTCAGCATGGCGAGAAAACTCCAGAAAAGGTGAAAATGCAAAGAGCTAGATTTTGTTGGGACACTTCCTTAAGCTCTATACTACAAAAAAGTGCAAAGAGTATATAGTAAAAGTTTGAAATGAGAAGAATAAGTCTGAAAATGAATTTTTTAAAACTGCCCGGAAACTTTCTCTACAACGTGATACAAAGACATACAGAATCTCGTTTATAGTGTGTTACAACTCATCCTGTACACTCTTCCATCTTTTTTCATCCATCAGCTTTTGAACAATCCTGTTTTTGCTTAGGAAGGAATTCAGTTCTTGCTGGTTGCTAAATGTTTCCATATTCGACTTACAGTAAGCTTTTTTTGCTCAGATTTCTTGGAAAACTGTAAAGATTTTTTTTAATATTTGATATCAAGCCCAAAGTAGTTTATAAGAAAATTTACTACTCGTTTGCTTTTTCAGCACGATCCATCGGTTTGACCAACGTCAACGAAGAAACTTCATACTTAGCGACCGGCCAGAGCTACCAGCTGGCTTCTTCTTCCACCAGTCAACCAGTCAAGACCAACAGTCACTAACAGTTGTTTTTGCAACGTGATGGACGGAATCGAAGCGTCTATGTCTCATTCGGATATCATTGTAATGGAGACCCTAAAAAGGAAAAAAATTCTTTTGGAGCTCAACGACTCACGAAGCCCTGACGCGAATCGCCGAAAGTTGAAAGCATGGAATGAAATTCGAGCAATCATACAGGTTCAATGCAAAAAAATGATGTCTATCACGCAGATCAAAAGAGTTTGGAGGAACAGAAAAGCTCACGTGAGAGATGTGCTTCTAAGGTATTGAAATTAGTCATTGATTGATTTTATTTTCAAATGACTGTCGTGTTTCAGACACTCACAGGGAACAGGACGCGGTCGCGATTTCAACTTGGAGAAGACTATCGCTAGGGCATCAGCTTCTCTCACGGAAGCTGAGACCAAGTTAGCTCAATGCTTGGGACGTGAAGCTGTTATGAGTGGCCTTGGAAGAATGGAAACATTTGTTGAAAAAGTGAGATATCATCAAACAGAATCCTCTACATATCGTTTCACATTACAGCAGAGCGTTACTGATTCACCAGAATCGACGTTGGAGGGCACTAGTAAGGGCTGGAGAGATGACGGACGGGCTGAAAGAGGCAAGAACGAGGTTGAAGGAAGGAGAAGGAGTGGATCCTCATGTGCGATGAACCAGCAGTCATATGCCTATAAGGTAAAGATTCTGCCGCTAGTTTAAGCTTTCTTTGTGTATCTCGTTTTTATAGAAAAGAAATCGAAGCGAGAGCACTAGCGATTTCTCGGATTCGACATCGGAGGACTCAGACTTCGGATGGGGGAATGGTGGGAAGCCAAAAAGGCTCCGGAAGGAAGAAGGCAGAGGAAGGGAGAAGAGATTGGGCTACCCGTTGGCGGTCGAGGACCAGTCTTTTGTGCATAAAGTGAGGAATTTCGCGGCATTTTTGTTATCTCAAAAATTTCATCCGTTCTAGGAAAAGTCGAGCTGCGAAGACGACTGTGTGCTGTTTGAATCTAAAGTGGAAAGTTCGAAGAATGGATGGAGGTCTGGTGGGTGGGCAGAAATGCGTCAGAAGAAGGACGACGAAAACAGTGAGGAAAAAAGCTATCCGCAAATGACTGATGAGAAGAAACTAGGACGCACTCTACGTAAGCGTATGCTGCAACAACCCGAAGATGTATGCATCTTGCAAAGCTTTGCTGGAGTCTATCTAATGTTGATATTTTAGTTTGACAGCGATTGCTCGACTGTCAGTATTGGCGCAACGAGGCAACAAAGTTCGGATAGGGCTATTAATGAGCTGCAGCTGACAGTTCTGAAGGTGTGTGTTTTTAGACAACTTGAATCCATGCTGCAGTTATTTTTAGAAGCAGCAAGCACTCAATGAAAAGAAATCGCGTGCGCTTGATCTCTACATTGATGTATTACGACAACAACAGCAGTTTTACGCCACCATTCTGAAAGAAAGTCTCCAAGTTTTCGGAGAAAATAACAAGCATACAGAAGGTTCTCATGAAAAGGAGATGTTGTCGAATTCGGATTATACCGAAGGAGACCTCAACTTGGAAGTGTCGGAAGACTCGAAGCCTCCAGTCACACATGCGTAGCTGTTTTTTATTTGTTATCATTTCCCACTTTGTTGCCTTCAAACGTTGGTCTCACCAGCACGTGCCCTGTTTCATTGTATCATTTTTGTTTCTTCTTTACCTCTCTCTCAATGAAATTAATCCCGAGTTTTGTGTACAACTTTATGTCTGCGTTTAAAATCGTAGGATGCGCGCAGCAAAAGTTGTTGCTCACTTATTCGATCTATCTCGTAGATTTTCTAAAGTTAATCACAGGCCCTCTCAACCCGCTTTGCAAAATCGGTCCACATAGATGCAGTTGCACGTCATCTAGCGATTAAAATTCCGTGCTGATACTGCACTCACTGCATTAGTGAACTTTTACATATGGTTCATTATAAAATCATGACGACGGATTTGGCTGTGGTCTTTGCTCCCACAGGAGCATAACACCCTCATACAAAAAGGCATCACCTCAAGGCTCAGCTCAGTCACTTCCATGTCCAAGTACCATTATACCCAAGCAGAAAAACCAGTCGATTAGAGATTAAAACCAAGAAAATGCGGTTGCCGGAAGGTGCGTGCGTGTCACGTCACGATTTTTCGAATGCCCTATATATACTCAATAACGTGCGTTTATATATTCAAAGTGAAGATTTTATTTATAAGTACTTTACAGCGCTAAGAAGGTTGCATGTTTTTTTCCATACTAAGAGAAGAAAAGCAGCATGAAAAGCCTTCTAATTAGCTGCGTTCATTCTGAACGGGAAGTTCGGAAACAATTCCAGCACAGCGCTCGAACGAGAAGAAAAGAGGACAGTCCCTCTTTGTACATTTCTTTCCATAATTTATTCCTACTTTCATAGCCTTTTATATTTTTCGCGCTGAATCGCCATCGTGTCTCATCACATCGTTTCTTCCAAAGACTAGCGAAAGTTATGTTTGTTCTGAGGAGATAAGCACATTTAGTTCATATATCTGACTATGTCGCTATCGCATTCATTGTTGAAAAGGAAATCCTGTTTAAAAATTAGTCATTTTATTCTTCTTAGGTTACTTTTTTCATCAAAACACTACATTCATACAGAAATATGCGTAACACTCTGGAACGTCGTTACTAGCGCTCAGAAGCAAATTTTAGCTGACCTAATACTAATCATTTGCGATTTTCCCTTTCACAGATACGTCTAGCTTACTCTGCATAAAAGCAGGAACAAATTAAGTCGTCTTCAACGGTACAACTCGAGTGAGATTAAGCCAGGTTGTGTCTAGCTCATATAATATGATTCAACGATGACTATAAGACTTGTCGACGCGTACAAGAAAGGTTGGTCTCTGGAAGACTGAGCCTATGGAGAGTATGCCTAGGCGAATAATATGAAAAGCTGTATGACTCCCTTTTTTAGTGGCCGAACAAACAAATAAAGTGTGTAACCTGTACTCATAACTAAGGCACTGTAACATGGTATGCATTCTAAAAAAATATTTGCTCGAAAGGAGTGCGGAGCACCTCGTGGAAGTAGATGGAGAAGAGGGAGGGAAATTGGGTAAGTTGTTGTAAAGTTTAAACAGCTGACGGTTCCACATAGAGTCTTTGCTGTGCCTAGGAGAGCATAAATTTTAGAACAGAGCTTCGCAAATGACCAGTGGGAAGAATATGTGATATTGCTTACAAAGCATTGAAAAGCATTCTTGGTTTTCCTTTCCTCGTCTTTGCTGAAGTCCAGAGTTTAGTATTGATAAATCTTAATAAAAAAAACTAGACAGTTCGAAACACTATCTAAACTCATATAAAATCTCTCCAGGCTTTTTTAAACTACGTACTAGCTCTACGTAGTCGCTTGTCGCTTATGGCTTGCTTGTCTGCTGATAGTAATCAAAAATTAGTATTAGTTCATATCAGTTAACGTATGTTGATGGTAGTTTTGGCCAAAGCAATATTTCTTGTAGCACCATCAAGTGTTCAGTGTGCAGAGTTTAAGGTGGAACCAAATGCCTCTTTCGATAAGTTGGTTGGGTTTCTTTTTATTGAGCAGCGAAAGGGCATACATCGGTATACCACACCTTTTTTTCTTTACTCCTTTGTAAGAAAAATTTTCTTTACTCTTTTGTAAGAAAAATCTAGCCATCTTCCAGCAACTGCGGCTTCATTTGAAGCTACTCTAATAGTTTTCGGCTTCTTGAGCAGGCTGCGTAGAGATTGTTTATTAGCCGCGCGGACTAGCTTTACTGCGGCGCACGCGACCTACGGTGAAACGTTTGTCCCAGTACGAATCAAGTACAAGTTGTGCTCTCGTAACTGCTGGCACGCGTTGCGGTCGCCGCAGACATGGCCAGTTCGTGCGGTTAATGAGTAAAGGATACTTTTGGATTCAACCTCCTTGGTTTCAGGAAGGCGGAACTTCGTGACCTGAGGGGGGGGGGTAATAATCAGAGCAAGCGCGCGGGAGACACGCGACGGCGAGGCGGGTGAGCGGCCTTAATTAGGTCGCAAACCCCCGCCATCCCGCCGTCAAGCCAGTTGAATCAAAGGTTAGAAACGGTTGGGCAAAAGTACGCTCGAGGCTATGTTGTCACTTTTCATGGTCGGAGTAACACATTATATAGAGTGAAGACGGATTTCTCGCTTTATGCTTATCGATCAATTAGTAGAATCTTTTATCAGAATAATGAAGTGAACGTCCATGCCAGAAAACTGCAAATTTTGGTATGCTTATTCTCCGAGTGGTGGCTCAATGAGTAGTGCTATTCTTCTTCGTTCCGACCTTGAGCATCTCGAGGATGTGAGTCACTAACTTTCCATAAAAGAATTTTGTTTGGTAGCTTGGCCTGTGCTGTCGATTCTGATTCACTATACTAATACAATAAATTTGTTTACAACTTTATCGTGGATTTTGAAAAAGAATAGAATGCTAGCAGCATTAAAAATGTTAAGGGCAGATGTCAATTCCTAAAAGGTCCATTAGAATTGTAGCTGTTGAAAATAAATCAAGTAACTCAAAATATGGTGCTTTTACGATCGCTCTACTGCGTCCACCTCTTACTTCCTGCAAACAATATTCAATAATCAGATCTGAGTTCTTTGGAAAGTTTTGGTCTCAACGCCAGTGGACATGGGAATCGCTCAATTGAACGACTTCACGGAGATCGACTGCAAGTTCACCAATCGAAGTTGAAGCTGCTCGATACCTCAGTAGTAATATCCTTTTGCAGTAGCTTTGATCGTCGCCTTTTTCCAGCGAAGATACGATTCCTAAAGTTGGGGGAAAATGTCCACCACAGTACCGCAAGATAGAATTAGTTTATGACGGTCGTAGGATGAACTTCATATCAGATTGTGACTGAAAAGGATTCAATATGCGCAGACGATCGACCTTTGATATGATTGCGAGTTTGCGGCGAGTGTATCATGATTTCTAAGTTAAACTTGAAACGGGTCTCGAAAATCACCAAAGAACTGCTCGACAGAAAAATTGCCGCAGGATCCTGCATCTTATCTTGAGCGAAACGACTGATAGACAATGCTGGTTGCAGAACGCATTTGCAGGAGATCTTCGCAAGCAAGCCAAATGCTGGAAGCAATTAAAAGTGAACGAAGTCTTAAAAAGTGCCGGAGGGACCTCTGAATTTATCACGTTTCTCTGACACACTATGGAACAGCTATGTTCACACTGGAGAAGTACCATGACGAATTCTGTTTGTTGAAATGCAATGCGATTCAAAACTTGAAGGTATCCATGGCTCTAGGATGCCACATCAATCGTCTCAAACATTTGCGAGCCGAAGGCCATCTATACGGAAGAAAATGATTTCTAACCAGTGGAGAACTTCAGGAGTTGTCCTTTACCTAGAGAACGTCAAACGCGAAGATCTTCGAAATTACAGGTCTAATGTGCCTGCTAAATGTGCAAGCCTAAATTTCGCAAAGCAGTGCTGCCATCTGCAGATAGACTTAGGGTTATAGAAATCAGGACTACCTGGAGTACTGCTTGCCTCCTATTCGTAGCCATCTTCGACTACCAGAAAGCCTTTGACAGCTTAGATGACAGGGCCATCCTGTCAGCGTCAATCGATCAAGAATTGGCCCCAGCTTACGTGGGACATCAGCCGATTGTTTAAAACAAACTGTACAGTGCAGGTATTCCATGTCTTTACCTCTCCGATAGGGAAGGGATCCTATAGGGCGACACAATCTAGCCGAATCTGTTCACCGCGGCATTGCTGTTTCACCGCGGCCTTGCTGTGGGTGAAGCTGGACTGGAAAGAGAGGCTAGCAGTTGATCCAAGGCTCCCTTTCCAATACTGTTCTAAACGGCCCTGTTTTCAGCAGAGGAATCTCCAGGGCAATGGAATTCGACTGAAGATAGAGCAAGGAAGATGTTGATATCATCAACACTCTACATTCTATATAAACCTACGGTAAACTACGGAATCCCCGTAGGCTAAATGGCGAGCTACTCACTCTTAAGTATCTAATCACTCAAGAGTGAGTGGTACCTGTGCGCCAGGAGTGTAGCCAATCGGCGGCATCTCCTTTCAAGCGCGAACTCGTGTACATTGTACCCTTTACTCGGTTCAGCTCCGCCTTCTCTCGTATATAAGGAGCCTCCTAATGTAGTAGGGTTGGCTCCCCCGGTTCACACCATGGAGAACTTGCTGAAGAACATAACAAAAGAGAAAAAGCCTGGCCTCTTCTGGCCTATGAATGAAGCCACTGTCGCCAATGGCGACGAAGAAGATCCCGTAGATGTCTGTAATTGCTGTATCTTTGATATTTATTATCGTTTATCATTCGTTTTGCCTTATATCATGAATGTTTGTGGTTAGAAGAGCATCCCACCATTAGCAGGACAGGTTATCACAACCTCACACTCTACCACCTTATCACTAGCTTGTCTTCAGTCAACAGTTGCTTTGCATTTACAAATCAACAAGTCAACTTCATTCATAGGCCTCTTCTGGCCTATGAATGAAGCAACTGTCGCCAATGGCGACGAAGAAGATCCCGTAGATGTCTGTAATTGCTGTATCTTTGATATTTATCATCGTTTATCATTCGTTTTGCCTTATATCATGAATGTTTGTGGTTAGAAGAGCATCCCACCATTAGCAGGACAGGTTATCACAACCTCACACTCTACCACCTTATCACTAGCTTGTCTTCAGTCAACAGTTGCTTTGCATTTACAAATCAACAAGTCTGATGGGTATAATTAGGGTGGGTGAGTGGGGTCTAAAATCCTCTTTACAAGTACTCTGTTGTGGGTACGAGTTTCCGGCTCACTAAGAAGACTCCCTCCACAAGTCTCCTGCGGAAAGGATTAGATCCGACAAGTACTCTGGACCGAGAACTACAAGTCTCCTGCTCACTGAAAGTCTCTGAGCGATCACTCACAAATATTCCGAGAAGCAGTCCGAGGATTATCAAGTCTCTGGGGACACTTCATCTTCACAGTATATGCATTATTGTCATTCATTGTTACATTGGAACAAAGTTTTATCGTTCAAGTCTGAGGTACTATACAGACACCGCGTGGCAACCCCTAACCAGTCTCATCAGCCATCCCTTTGCCACAGCCTACAGTCTCGCTGACATACCCGGGGTTCTGGACCCATTTCGACTTAGCTGTTCTAAGAGAACATTGTTGAGCAGCTGAAACTGTGACCTACACTGCATCCATATCGAACAACATGACGAACTACCCACAGAGCGCTTGAACGTAGTTTTCTGAGGATGACGGCACAAGCAGCACCTCATTGGATTGGTATGAGAAGAATGCCCTGTGCTCCTGTTCGTGAACCGGCGGAACGGTCTGAAACAGAAGCATCGATGGACCGGTTAGAGACTACAGATGGACACCAAGACCAACGGAGAGGACTCCTCGTAAAGTAACGCGTTCTTGAAGAGGACCACAAAGATGGGCAGACATATTCGTAGAACAGATCGACAGCTGAGAAGTCAGCTGGATATGATTTCCACGCCAGGATTCGTGAACGCAGTCACCAACGACAAGTATGAATGTCATCTGGAGCGAGGGACAGGAAGAATGAATGGTTCTCCTATGCTGGGATCCGCACGCTCATGGAGACGGACCATTCAGGTAGTAAGCTGATTGAATTTGTAAAATGGAAGCTTTTGTTTGATCGAATATTTTGCGCTGTAGCAGCTTGCACTGTATTTTTAACATAGAGAGTTTGTGCGCAACTTTATCTTGGATGATTGAAAGAGATAGAATGCCAGTAACATTGTGTTCAAGGTAAACTGAATATCACCTAATTACGTGATTTTCACTACCGCTCGGCTCCATCTGTAAACGAGATATCTAAAGTCTAGTAAAGAGATATCTGAATAGATCTTTGCAATTCAATTTTACTCATTTCTTTTACTTCCTCTCAAGTAATAAAATTCAGTTTTTGTACGAAAGCATTTCATTTAGTGCATACGGACAGAAGCTAAGAGCCTAAAATTACCGTCCTTAATTCGTTAGAACTCCACCAAAGATCACCAAATCCGCTTCGTGTCTTGCTTCATAGTGAACAAATCACGAATTGGATGGCACTGCTCTTGTCTTGCTTCATAGTGAACAAATCACGAATTGGATGGCACTGCTCGTGTCTTGCTTCATAGTGAACAAATCACGAATTGGATGGCACTGCTCGCCTCAACTCGGCGATGCTCACCTTGTGATGTGTAGGGCTGCCCTTTTGGATATGGGTAGCTGCCAGAGATTACGGATCTCTTTATAAATAGCTTACGGTAGATTGCTCAGTGTGCTAAATCATTCCACACGAAGTAATCTAGCCAGGTAAAAGCCAAAAAGGTTCGTGATTGCTCGTCGGCTGTGTCGAACTTGGCCTTGGATTCAGAATCGCCCACTCTAAATCGAATTATGTCGGTGCGACGTGAATGCAAATGTTCTGAAGCTCAATAGCAATTTGCGAAGATGATTAAAATTAACGCACCAATTCCTAATTGAAAGCGAGAGAAAAAAAACGATGGGAGTAGATCCCATACGTTACCAATGAGCCTGAGGGGGTGAAAATAACAAGGTTGCCCTTCTGTAGTGGGTTCGTGAAGCATCATTATTTGCCAAAGAAGCAACATCGAATATTCTTGATGAGGAACTAAGACCAGTAAATGACAGCCAATATCCAAGCGTCATTCTAATTTTGCATGATATGAATCATTGTCATTGTGACTCTCACATACTCAGTTCTGTAACAAAGCTATCCGCATTTTGTAAAGTAGTCTTCCCATGGGGAAGGAAGTAACGCATAGGGTGAGTCTTTTCAATCTGGATTGTATAAATCCATTCAGGTCGAGCAGAACCTACTGAAGAGACTGAGTGAAATCGGCGCGAGGGACATATCCGAAATAGCTTTTGCAGTTGGCAGGTCATCAGAAGGATTGTACCTTCGTATAGATTTCATGCCTTATGTAGACAAAATCTCCGAGCAAGTGAGCAAGAAATCGTCTGAAGACAAGGCAGTGGCGGCTACCAACGTGGCCGCAAAACATGCTCCTATGGCACCGACAGAGAAGACACTATCAAATGATGTTGGCGTTTCCGTGAGTAACGATGCTTTATATCAGAGAATTCCCAATTTACATTAGCATACATAGCATGTGATTTGATATAAGTGAACATATGTATATATCAACTGCTCAGTATATCATTAACTCAAATGCTACAGCAAAATCACTTTCAAACAAGAGGAAATAAATAGGAGTAATATGTCCATTATCCTGACAATTCAGATGTGTAAGTATAGACCTAAATTAACGAAATTTGGTTCGTTAAGGTCTCTGACTATCTGGTGCAATGTGTTGGTACTTACAAAAGTAAAAGTGCGTATTTATACATAAATGGGCATGGCAAACATCGAGACATCTGAAGCAGTTTTCCAGATTATTATACCTAAGTACTACACTGGCATTGTTCTTGGCGTTTTTCGTTCTGTACAGTTGGACATGGAAATGTTGCGGGATTTTCCATAGCATCTTGCTTACAAACAGTCGTAGAATTCAAAGACTTTCTTTCAAGATTTTCAGATTTTACATGTATCATAGTATCAACAGAACTTACCGCAAACCGTACACAAAATATCATTTTTGCTGTAACATTCTATGGCAAGAATTTTCTAGATTTTCACAACTGAACTGTAATCCCACGAATGGAGTAGTCAATGACGCAGAATCAACTTATTTTGTACTCCTAAGAAGACCCTCAAAACAGTATTTCAGTGTTGCGGTGATTTTGCTGGAGTTGACGACGTACCGATCACTCTGGAGATTCACTTCAAAACATATGGAAGCAAGGGTGACGTATGTATACAAACGGGAACGCCAACGCAAAGTTGATTCATCTCAATCATCTCAATCACACGTACTCTGTTTGATATGGGCAGAATATATTTAAAATACTCAAGGAACAATTCATCATGTTAAATGATCAATAAACGTCAACTCATACTTGATTAAGGCACCTAAAAGTGATTCAGTTACCACAAGGGTATATCCGACTATCATACCTAAAATTCGAAAGTTATTGATAAACCTGTATTTTTTCTGAGAAGCTGATGTCAATCAAAACTTCCTTACTGCCCGCTTTCTAGGAATGCATTCTATGAGCAATTGCTATCCAAATAACACGGTAGGAATGTTCGGCCATTGATACAAAACTAGACGACGACTACTTATGGTAAATTTTACAACTAATACTTGGCGCTGCTGTTTGGGAACAAGGCTCGTATGCATGTACATCCTGCGGAGGTTGGGAGGGGATTTGAAAGTGACGCGCCATGGGTTAATGACAAAAACTAACCTGCAAATCCGTTTGTTTTGTTGAAAACATCCATAGCAAAGCCACAGTAGATCCTTAGTACAATTTCATCGACTTCCTGGTGAGACAAACACTTTGCAAAAGGGATGATTCCCGGTGCATCTCCAGGGGATCCCCCCTTGTTTGCAGAGTCTGGTTTTGACTCAAAATTTCTTTGTCAAAGCCGCTGTCAGGTCTGTTGCTATCTGCGACTACCGTAATTGTACCTATTATAACGTACGAAGTGCATTCAAGCATCTACCGTCATGTGGTATGTGATACTTTTAGACAAAGAGCTGTTCACTCGCCATTTTACTAACAAGGGAATGGTCAGAAATGAAATGGCCAATCCAGGCAAGCTGCAAACCATTAAATGCAGCATAAAGCGCTGACTCCGAATCTGCCTTCCTTACCTGCTTATCGCTTTTCTTGATGAAGCTATATGCCATTAAAGAACATTATTTTGCTAAGAAATTATGCGTGAAGTTGAAAATTTAGCCCAGAGCCGCGTTTGCCTTAATGCTGGGCCGAAACATGCAGCTAGCTTACTTCAAATTTTCAAAGCCAGAACCTGAGCTAAGAGTGCAACATTGTGCTCAATTTTGCCGTTTTTATGTGTGATTTTTTCACAATAAAACCGCTTGTAGCTTCGTCCACAGAAGCGATAAGCAGATAAGAAAGACAGATTTGAAGTCAGCGTTTCATACTGCGTCGAATGATATACAGCTTGTTTGGTTTGGCCACTTCGACTTTTGACCATTTCCTTGTAAGGTAGGAACCTATGAGTTCAAAGTGGCTTCGATCACAACCAAAGCGGCTTTCATAGAATCTCGTATTTTGTCGCGTTTACATAGTAGACTATGTAATTCTGGGCGCAAAAAGTGGAATGGATATCACATAGCCGTTAAAGTCAGACATAAGTTGTGACCCACTTTGTTACTCACGTAGTCCCACGCAGTAAACATTGCTTGGGTTAGGTGATAGATGTGAAAGTACTACCTCCAAAACGCTAGGCAATTTACCTCTATAAATACACAGCATTCATGATGAAAAACTCATATTCAGGACGTATTTACATACATTTATTTACATACAGGATGTCTAACAAGGCAGGGTAACAAAGTCAGAGTGGCTGGTCATTACGAACTGTGCACCATTTATGAGAGCCTGAAGAGCTGATTCCAAATCTGCTCTCCTTATCTGCAAAGGCTTCTGTAAAAGAAGTAGTGAACAATTTTGGAGTCGAAAAATGCTGCAGGCATCAGGACATTTCATGCGACGACATATTCCTTCTACCTAGTATAACAGTACTTTCTGATACTCCATTTAACGTTTATAAAGCTGTGACTAATGATTTTATCGCTACCATTAGTTCATTTTTTGGGCTCAAAAAATGCACGTAACTTCTTTTACAGAAACGCTCTGCAGATAGGGTTGGGAAAATTCGGAGTCAGCTTTTCGAGCTCTCACTAAAAATATACAGCTTGTAATGATCGGCCAGTTTGACTTCGTGACCCTCCCTTGTAAGCAATGGGCCTGCATAGTGAAACCGCACCGACACCCATGCGAACTAGTATCTTACTCAAGAATATTGGATTCAAAGTTTTTCCAGTTTACTACGTCTGTTTCTCATTCCATGGACTAGGAGCCAGTTATCCGTAGGCATAGAATAGCTGGAAAGCCAGCTCGCGCGTATTGGTGTCATTGCACTGCGCGGGCCGGTATTTGTTAGACGCACTGAAGCATGTATAAAAACATCTTTCAAGCAATAACTTCTTCCAGGAATGGTATCCACGAAAGTCCCCGCGAAATGGGCTTTTGGTGCGAATAAAATGGACTTATTCCATGCGGTGCGAAAAGATATCGCATTTGCGAATCCATTCATTCCATACAAAATTTCCTCAGCAAACCTTTCTCCAACTTGCCTCAACCTGTTTGCTCACTCTTGCAAACTCATTTCCACCAAGTGGTTGATATCTGACTAGGCTGACCTAACATTGCAATATCAGTCACGTAAATATTGTATTCTTTCCCGCACCGTTACAATTCACAAAATACCATTTATTATCGATGACTTGCATCTAAATTATTAGGTTGTCAAGAAAATAATGTCGTTTTTCATAGCAAAGCCATAAGACAAATCCAAAAAACCATGGGAGGGGTACCATTCGATAGAGCAAAGGAAGCTCTACAAGATGACATCCGAACATTGGCAGAACTTGTTATCTACGCAAAGTTCTGAGCCAAAACATACGAGCAAGTCGTGATGCCAAAAACTGGATTTTCGCCCTAGTAAACCCTGCAAACCTCTCACTTGCTCCTGCTTGTAAAGGACACATGCGCTTATCCATAGGTACACTTGCTATATTTTTTCCATGCTTAGAAACCAAGAAAAAATTAAAAAATGGAAAATGGCAGACTCCGCCCCCAGTAGTACTGGGCCCCTCCCACATATGCCTTTGTATACTACAAAGCTTCGTAACTTTAACCATAAATTTTCGGCCTTGGATATGCTCTAGTTCTCGAGTAATATCAACTTACAACTTACACGAAAAAACCCGAAAAAACGACATTATTTTCTTGACAACCTAATACTTCCAAGACTAAAATTCATGCGATATGTGGGCCTTCGCTTTTCAAAGCTTCTATGAATCTGCATTTAATCAAATTCGTGTGTAGAGCTTTCTGCAGAGAGCAAACTTTGGCTTGCACTGCAATCTGTGAATCAGAATACTTATCTCATAGGAAACCTTGTACTACACTAAAACCCAAAGGGTTTTCAAGGAAATCTATGTCTGCAAGAGTTGACTTCGCAAATGTTCTACTTTAGGCTCTTCTTTGTCTTTCAGCACTAATGTTTATATCTCTAAGTAGTTGGATGTATGGACTATTGACAGTAGGAAATTTTTCACAGAATTTTTTTTTTGCTAGCTAGCGGCACTTCACTATTTCTTGCGACCAAACTCAAAATTCGTTCATAAAGGTCGTCATTGAGGTTCGGTTCTACGAGATTAGTCGAAAGATAGCTTCTGAGTGCTTATATCGAAACGCAAACCTTTTTTATCTTTAAATACAAATCATAAATTTAGTTTTGGTTAATGATTTGAAGAGTTAACAAACTTTATCTGATTTACATAGGAATTCTTGCATCGACATGATATTTGGAAACATTTGAGTTTGTAGGCGAATACTTTGGTGATTTACCCTTCTTCCATAATTTTTATAGCGTTTGTATGAATTTAGAAAGAAACACTCATTTCAGACTTCATAAAAGACATAAAACATCCACTTACTTATTACCTTAAAATAGGCTAAGGAACATATTCTCAAAAAATCGCAATCAAAAATATGCAAAAAAGTCAAAAATGGGCTTAGTCCCAGCTCACCTTGCTGCTGGGAGTAAAATGGGCTTTCAAGTCCATTTGAAATGGAGGTAAATCCCATTTTGCCCCATTCTAAATGGACTTTTCGCATGATTCTTTCGCAAGCGAGAGCTCAAGTAGGTTTAAATCACTTTGATCACACCGCTTTGCCTCGTGGTTGCGACGAGATAAAATTTCTTGGATAACGCTAGCGAAAGCAGATTCCGACCAGTTTCTACCGCGAACAAATAAAATGGGGCTTGAAAGTCCGTTTTCCCCCATTATGGACTTTCGTGGATATCATTCCAGGTCTCTTTACTGAAATTATATATCAACTCATATTCCGTTTTCCCTTTGGTATACATACAGGTTGCCCTAAAAAATGTCTTGAACTCTCCTGATAACTATGAGTAGCTCTCCTCTCTAAACAGCTCCCGCGACATGTTGTGGGGTTGGCTTCAATTTACAGTTGGAATCAAACTGAAAGAATCGTCAATCTTTCATTGTAGAATGACGTCAAGAACTTTTGAGAGGTATTTCCCCCGTATGACTGTAAAGCCTTTCATGGGCAGACCTTAGCCTGTAAATAGATCCTTTAGTCGCCAAGTTACCAAGCTGCTGAACTTTGCGTTGTCTTCGCTTTTAATGCTGCTATTCCACCTCGCTTGATAGTGGACAGGAAAAGAGAAAAACTTGCACGCTTGTAGAAATCGAGAAACAATTATATAATAGCTGTGATAATGATCCGATTCGATGTTTACTCCTGTGTGTATACTGGGTATCGTGACATCCCGCGATAGTCAAGGCGTGTTTCTAACACGAATTCATTCATTCGAAAAAGCTACTTATTTCGGCTTTGGGAATTCTAGCCTAAAGATAGCATGGGCGAGAACAAACATGAGCCTTATTTTCTATAATTTCGCGTTTCGAAAATACTCAAGGAGTCTATGATCAATCTACAATACCATTATATCACCTTGACTAATAATCACGATGTGATGGGCAACTGCGCATGTTAACGACCAGTTGAAAATGCAGTTTTTGCGCCTGGCTTAAAATAAACATTCAAACCTGTGCGGACCACTGTACTCAAAACATTGATGCAATGTCATTTATGTCATAGACTCAAAGCTTCTGATTGTATTATGTTGGAAACTAAGTTTTGCAGCTGGTCTCATGACTTTCCTCTCACTCACCTGGCGCACTCAAATTTTGCCACTGCGTTGGTTATTAAAGCTACAAGCGCAGCTGCTGCCCTACCAAATTCTGACGTCGCAG